TGCAGTACAAATTTACTGATCATATACATGCACACTATAATAGCAGAGGTTTAGCAAAAATACTGACCCTTTCATCCTTTTACCACTCTACTGCTATCATGACATGTTTGCTGCATGTGGAAAATGCTGTATTTTAAAGAAATGTGGCAATATAAAAAGACTAAACAGGATTACTTTCTCGCTGACACTTGTGCCTCCTGACCATGCAGTCTTCCCTTAGCACTTGTGTATTTGCCAACAGTAATTAGGGTTTTTAAAAATCCCAACTAAGTCTTTGCTTCATCTGATGTCAACTAGTCAAAAAACTGTATTTTTAGCTTAAGAGAATATTAGTAGCAAATCCAAAGGCAAGCCCCAGCATAGCACCCATGCACAAGTCTGCCTTTAAACCGGGAGCTTACTTCAACAGGGTATCAAGATTCTCTAAAGTGCCCTAGTAAATTGATTGCTATCAACTAACATTGGTACTTCCTTCTGGGGTCACCAGAAGGCTCTTTCCAGAAACTTTCAAGGTACTTTAAGATACATTAATTCATTCTTCAATTCATAAGTCAAACATACACATTTCTATTAAGAACTCTGATAATTTACTATAAAATATATTGTGGGAAAAATCCAGCATATGGGTTCTTCTCATAACTAAGACCCTGCTATGGTAACATTAACTGAATAAGACAAGGGCCATTAAAATTAATGCAGAATGGTGGCAAATCAAGAACTCAGTATATCCACAGGAAGCGGGGGGTGAAAAATAAAAGGGCAGCAACTTCAAAGCCTCCTGCAAGATAAAGCATTGAGATGCCACAACTAGGGCTGCTGCCTTTTCCTGGCAGTTTAATAGCCGTGTGACACTCCAAAGTTCAACAGGCACTGCTTTTCCCAGAGTCAAGATATAGTGAGGAGAAAAACCACACATGTCGAGCTTCCATCACACAGTTAAAGATTCAGGTGTTTGAGTCCAGTGGCACCTTTAAGGCCAAGAAAGTTTTATTCAAGGTATAAGCTTTTGTGTGCAGGCTCACAAAAGCTTATACCCTGAATAAAACTTTCTTGGCCTCAAAGATGCCACGAGACTCAAACTTTGTAAAGTTATTAAAAGGTACAAGTACCTTACCAAAAGAAGGGGGTGGTGGAGAAACTATAACTGCCAATAGCTTTAACACAGAGAAGCGTTCTTCTAGGGCAGTGGTCTTCAACTTTTCCAAACACAGGACTCTCCTTTAACCACCATGCAGCAGCATGGAGCCCATCAAATGGCAAGCATGTCACAGAAAGTCCTGCAACAGAGTCACATGACAGGATGAGGTGGTGTCAGAGCTGTGACCTCACTGGTGGAGAGGAGAGCTCCACCAGGTGCGCACCAAGTGATGGCAGCAGGGGTGGCTGGGCCCCAGGAAACGGAGAGAAAGCAAGAGAGCTGGGGGGTGGAGAATCTCAACCAGTTTTGCCAACAACCTGGAGCAAAAAACATCCTGAATGTGTACAGAAATGTGCAGGAGAAGCTTTTTATGGCAGGGAGGAGGATAACATCCCATTTAGCTTTTATTGAAGGAGTAGGACATTTTTTCTCTCCAGGTTGCTGACAACCCTAATCTGAACCTGCCTGTGTTAAAAGGAATCCTCTTCACCACAAAGGGATCTTGCTTTGCCATCCTTCTAGTGTGCATGCCAACAGGCATTGGCACTTTTGCTTCTCTATACATGTGCATCAGCAGCTGGTCCTTCTGGAAAGCAGCATAAAAAAAGAGGCTGCTCTATAGGGGCCGATGACCCACCTGAGGATCTCAAACCTTTGGCAGAAGACCACATACTAGAATAATAAGGATGCTGTAGGTGCTGTTCACCTAAGTAAAATCTTTTTAAGTGTAGCATCGTTGCATTGCTCTGGAAAGTGCTTTCTTGGACCCATTTGCACTCTGCAATCCCCCAGCCTACCTCTGAGTAACTGCATGCTATTCCTATTGCCATTGGACTACATCCATCCACAATATCAGTGGTGGTAACTGGTAACTACTCCATTTAACTGGGTATTGTTACAATGTACTGCAGCCTAGATGACCTCTCAGTTGTATATATGTGCTCATATACACAAGATTTTAGCTGATGGGCCTGTTCTTCTGCTGATACTATTTTGATATTAGCACTGTTATTAGTGTTGAGTTATTGAACTAATCCCATCAAGGGGAATAAAGAGTGCCAGAAACTCCTTCATCGGTATTAAACTCTAACCACACTCTACTTTGAAACTATACATTACACCAGAAACAGAGCTGGTAGCTATACTCCAGTTTCAGTATCATATTCCTGACCACCTTTGAAAGGGAGAGAAAAAGAGGTTCTGTACAGCACGTATTTTTACTAACAATACACAACTGCAGAAACACAGACCTGTATCATAAAAGGTCTTAAGAAGAGGACATTTCAAACTTAAAAAGCAAATGAACAAAACACTCAGACCAATTCCTAAGTGTTCAACTGGAGGGAAGTTTTTTACATTTCAGCAGGACACACTGCCATGTGTGCATCACAGCCCGAGTTTCAAGCAAGGCAGACAGTGTTATGTGCTGTTCTTCCTACCAAATTGCTTCCTCTTATTCCTAAAAGCCCAGCCTCACACACATTTATACACTTCTAATCAGTTGGTAGTAGGTGTCGGCCCTGTAGTGATACACAGAAAAATACATGGCTGGAAATAGTTTCACATAAGGACAGATCTTAGTAACCAGAAACAGTTCTGAAAGTTTAAAACTAAAAAAAAAGAGAAGCCGTTTCTACTATATTAACTGCCAGGGTTTCCTCCTCTATGCAGATATATAGAAATGGGAATAGAATTAGTTCAAATGTACATACCCGATTTAGACAGCTTTACCAGTCATCCCCGCACTGCAAGATCACAGAATTCTCAGGGCACTCATTAAACTATTTCCTCCCAGGATTCTTGGGAAAGCTACCCAGAAAAGTTAAATTACAGTAAAAATGACATACATCTGTAATGTAGCCATGGCCTTTAGAAGAACCAGAACCACGTCTGATATCAGGTGACAACATAAAGCACGTTTCCTTTCACAAGTTCTCTGCTGTGTGCCAGACAGAAAGATCTAGGAAAACAAGTCTATTCCCTTCCTACAACAGAGTATATTAGAAATCCTAGCCACAGCGAGGTTTTCATTCCCTGTGGACATTTATAGTAAAGGGGGAGGGGGTTTACCATATATGTGGCACCTTATGCTATACTGCTGTGGCATGAGATCTTTGTGAATCAGACTCTTCACTCTGAACTGGCTTCCTATTCAGTTGGCCCCTGTAACGATGTCTTTAACAGCAGGAACGACCGTGACCCAGAGAAGCATTTCCAGCATTGTCACCTACTAACTGCTTCAGAATAAGGTGCTGCCCGTCAGCCTCTGAGTCAACAATCCTTCACAGATGGTCTGCCCTTGACAACATGCCTCACTTGAACAGGAATCTGACATTCATTTCAGAGAAGCGTCCTGATGTCATAAACATACCCAACACCCACAACTGACAGCAAGTGAACCTACAAAGGCATAAAGGCCTGCAGAAGAACACTCTGTAGAAGAGGTCTGCAGAGTGGGAAAAACACCCGCCAATGAAACACAGGGAATTTTGCGGCTCTAGCATCGGGGGAAGGGGGGGGGGTCAGGGTCAGAACCTAATAAACAATCCAATTGGGGTGTGTGTGTGTGTTCAAATTTAAAGTTTAAAGTTTGCTATGTCCCTCTTCTATTTGTTTAAAAGGAAAGCCGGTTCTTGTTCCTATATCTGGCGAACTTGAACACGTAAAGCTACCTTATTCAATGTCAAACCATTAGTCCCTCTAGCAGGTCATGATCTGCTTTGACTGGCAGGGCAGCTGCTCTCCAAGGTCTCCCGCACAGAAAAGGTCTTTCCCAGCACCTGCTACCCAAGATCCTTTCACTGGAGCTTTCGCAAAACAGAACCCAGGACCTTCTGCACATAAAGAAAGTGCTCTGCACCACTGAAGAACAATCTCAGCACTGGGCCAACTTCTTGCATTGCTAACCTTGTGCAAGAAAGAGAACATTTATAGTGAGGAATCCAGATAACCAGGACATCATGCAACCTCTTGGAGATATATCAGAATCCATCAGAAAAGATTTCAAGGAATCCTAGAAACCCTCTTCTCTCCTACCCATAACACAAGAAATCAAACCACCTTTAGTGAAAACGAGCTGCAAATACTAAGATTTACGTCTTCTGACTTGGCAAAGCCAGTTCTCCCTTTCAGAGCTCCAGGGCAGGAGACAATATACAGCAGAACAGTTGCTCTTCAAGAGCCATATGCTCTCTCCAAATTTGCTGTATTAAATACTGGATTGTTTAACCCAATCTGCAGCCAAATTTTGCAGCAAAAAAAAAAAGGCTGTACAAGCAGATTAGACTTAGAATCTCCACAGAACATTAAGCTCCACTTTTAGAAAGCTCCAGAAGAACAGAGTTTCAGAAAACATACACTTGGGGTGGGGGGAGTTTAGCTTTTGTTGGCAAGAAGGCTGAGGTCAGTAAAACGAGTGGAAGAAGTCAAAGATGCATCCCAGCATCAAATGCTCCATCGGTTTCATACTTCATTCCTAAACATTTTTACTCAGAAGCAAATCCCATTAATTCTAGTGGGATTTACCCCCAGGTACATATGGTTAGGATTGCAGCCCTTGTTCCTAGACTCTTGCCTGCTATTTCCATAAGAAGATACATTTTCTGGAGTTTTGGATTGTTTAAGTCCATTTAAAAAGAAGCACAAATACACAGGAACATAACTATACAGTTTGAAGATACAACAATTCCTTTAAAAAAAGAAAAACCCACAAAAAAGTCCAGCACAAGTCTCAAGGCATTAAAGTGCAAGACAAGGCTCTGTGGAACTACAAGCAGCTTCTCCCTGGCAAAGATTTTGGGACCTTCACAGAAAAGACACCATCGCTTGGGACCTTCACAGAAAAGAGTATCCAAGGGTTATGAATAACAACTAGCAGAATATCATCAATGAAAGCATACTCCTTCACGGGTCACTTCAAAGCAAAAATTCACAAGTCTCTCATAATCGCATCCCACTTCTGTCAATACTTCAGACTCCTTACTTGACCAGAGAGGATGAATTGGCCAATATCCATTTCAGCCCATGGTCCATGTTTATGCTCTCAGCCAACAGCTCTTCTGCCCCCACAAAAAGTCTCTCAATCCTACCTCCCCTGTTTCATCCCATAAAAAGGAGCTGTGACTCTCAAAGATATACTGAAACAAACTTCATGGAAAAGAGAACAATATCCCCTGCCCAAATAAAATCCAACAGCAAAGTTCCCGGAAGCTTGAACATGCACTGTTTCTTATTCACCCTGAGCCTGCCTTGTTTTTTTAAAGGAGAGATTCCTGGCAAAGGTCATTTTCAAGAACTTCTCAGTTGTACGCACACCTTAACACCATCACAATAACAACAGGAAGATATGTTCAAGCATAACTGGTTGAAGAAGCAGCCACCTTAGCACAAAAATCTTCCAATTATTTACACACACAAGATTACACTTGCAGAGCAACTTTATCTTTAGTCAAGGCTTATGAATCCAAAGACAATAGGTGAAAGATATGTAAAGCTACCATTCATTAGCTGCTAACAGTAGTGGCACAGTATTCAGACATCATTACTCCGTTAGCTAGCTGGTGGAAATCGTATCCACTTTTCTTTAGGTACCATGTATGCCAGCTGGTTTTCAGGTATGCACTATACAATTTTCTAATGCATATCCAATGCCCACAATCCACATGGCCTTGAGGTTCCTCTACCATCCTGCATACCGATAAACATTACTAAATTGACAGCCTCCGCAAGTGAATTCCAAACTTTATGCTCGCAGAGAACCCTTTCCACATCCAGTTATCAGATACTGCATGTCTGCCATAGAATTCCTGGGTGTGGCAAATTTATACAGCAAACTATAAACTCAGGGAGGGTCAACGGCCAGTCCTGCTGAGCCTCACTATAGCTCTACGCAAGCCAAATATGAGCACTAGACATTTCAGAACAAACTCATTAGCTTGTGCATTGTAGGGACAAACGGGTAGTGGTAAACACTGAATGACTCCTGTTAATCTTCCAAGAAGACATAATTTCCTAAGAAGAGTTAGAAAATGCTGGTCTACACACACAGGACAGGCAAGGGCAACATAGATACACCTAGTTGGTGTGGTACGACTTTTTGCATTCCTGTTGAATGGAAACCATGAGTGAGGAAAGCACCAATGTAGGTGCTCCCATAGAGCGCACAAACAAGCAGACCAGGGTATCTATGTGTAATCTTCCAAACTGCAGCATTTACGGAAGCACTGTAAAACACCTGAAGACCACACTGAGTACAGTACGGATAAGGGAGGAAGCATCAAACAAGGACCCCTTGCTGAAGCAGAAGGGTCCACTAATACCTCTGGGAAGGGAACTGACTAGGGAAGCAGCTTGACAAAGAAAAATATACTATGAAACATGGAAGAATGCAAGGACATTTGGCCTCTTTCCTATTTCTGGACTTGCAACTTCTCATTTCAATTACCAGTTCACTATTATCGGTATAAGGAGTGGACATTCTTCTACAGAGCACAGCAAATAAACATCTTTGCCAGTGAAAAGAGCTTCAGTTTCCAAAATGCACAAAGCAGTAACAGACAAGTAATATATCTATATATTCTCTCTATATATATCTATAGTAACAAATGAGAAAAAAAAAACACATACAGGCACCCCCACACTGCCTTTTTTTTGTTGTGATTTTTGCGTACTTGAAAGAGGAGCAGGGGGAGAAAATTAAGTCAGCGAGGCATCAACAGTCAAAATCAAAATCCTCTGTAAACATCTGTGAAGGAAAATTTTTGGATTTTGTTACAGAATATACTTAAATCACCTGCCATAAGGGGAAAAAAATTAGGAACACAGGAGGTGGGGAAAATCCCCAAACATGAAAAAAAGAGAAAAACACAAAATAAAAATGGAGTTTTAGAACTGGATGCTCCGGTCTCGGAAGAAGCCCTCTGCCATTTGTGCTTCTCTGAAAGTCACGGTAATGGAGTTTGCTGTGATGTCCGTCACTGTTACTTCGTTTGGGGGCAGGGCTGGGCTCCATGAAAGGGAGCCTTCTGCTGTATCTGAGCCCACTGTGGAAGAGGAAGAAGAGAGACAACAACATGTGAGAAAGAAGGAGAAAAAAACACTGAAGACGAGGCCTACACTGAGGCTTCTTTCCCCAGTCATTGGACACAGAAGACCAACCACTCTTAATTCAGCACACTCAACAATGGGGCAGAGACAGACAGGAAAAAACCCAAGGGAAGAGAGCTGAAGAGGCTGCAAGGATGTACTGCACCTGTATGATCTGTAAAATGGATGCCACTTCAGAAGGTCCACCACACGGATGGATATACTCATATACCAGTAATGATCCAGTGAGTTAGATATGCACAATACACACCATAGCTGCCTACAAGGCCTGGCCTCTTTCTAGCTTCAAGAGACACAATAATTAAACCTTGGAAGCTGGGGAATGCAACAGACAGCTGATGAAGGGAGGACAACAGAAGGGGCCAGGCCAGGTGGGCCCTTGTCCAAGGGAGAACCCTTTAGAGAACTTGAATGGGGCTCAAACACAATACTTGAGCAGTCTCCAGTTCAACAAACTTAGAGTCCAAGGGCACCTTTAAGGCCAACAAAGGTTTATTCAAGGTATGAGCTTTCGTGTGCACACACACTTTATCCAATACGAAAGCTCATAACTTGAATAAACCTTTGTTGGTCTTAAAGGTGCCCTTGGACTCTAAGTTTGTTGTACTGCTTCAGACCAACTGGATCAGTCTCCAGTTCTGTAGAGATGGCACAACTTTTCCCTCTTCACATGTTAAGAGGACACAGTTGGCTATGTTACCAAGCCTTACCCTCTTTGCTGGCAGGTTGTGTGGCCTCATCCCAGTCATTGGGGGTCTGCCTGTCCTCCAGTGCTATCGGTTCCTTCAGGAAAAACTCCCGGCGGCGATTTCGGTTCTCCAGGCTTGACATGCGGTTGAACTTCTTCCTTGAGAGGCGCAAGTACTTCTGGTTCTTGTTCTGCTTCCGAAGAGGGAAAGGCAGCACCCCTCCTCCACCACTCTTCTCAGACAGCTCTGCCTGCCCTCCCTTGGTCCCTGTCAAGTTGTTTC